TCAAATAAGTAAATAAATAAAATCTTAAAAAAATAAATAAAATAAAATACTTCAAATGAAATAAGATTTAAAATTCAGTTCCTGGGTTGCACTAGCCATGTTTCAGATGCCCAGTAGCCACGTGTGACTAGTGGCTGTTCGATTGGACAGTGTTCATAGAGCACATTTCCATCACTGCAGAAAGCTCTGTTGGATAGCACTGAGCGAGAGGCTTAAGCGGATGTAGGCGTGAGATAACTTCATAGGTGTTGCTGTGTACTTACCTGTGGTACCCATCGTGTCCTGTGGGTCTGTTTTTCATGATGCTGAGATTGATTAGTGGGTCCGTGGGTGCTTCTGGACATTTTTAAAGAAAGGAGAAAAAGGAAATTTTGGTGCTCTTTGTTTAGGATGAACTAGGTGGCAGGGAATGAGTGATTCCCCCAAACTGGGACAGAAGCCATTCTGGCCATGTAAGAATCATCTGAGGACACTCAGTATGAGATAGTGGTTGAAAGTCATTCTGCCTGGGTTTGAATCCTGACTGCCACTTACTAGCTCCATGACCTTGGGCAAGTCACTTAACCTCACTGAGCCTCTGTTTTTTTTTTTCAGCTGTGAAATAGGAAAATACTAGGACTTAGCTCATAAGGTATTGTGATGGTTAAATGATATAATGTGGCTAAAGTACACATTATGCACAGAGTAAGTATTCAATGAATATGAATTACTGGTATTATGTTATTGTAAAAATACAGGTTCCAAGGCTTAGGGGCTGGAGAATCTAATTTGTTAGGGTCTGTGGTAGGACCTGGGATCTGCATTTTAAACAGGTTCTCCAGGTGATCCTGAGTTCTTGGACCCCCTAGCCCAGATCCCTTCCCAATATCTTTCCCTGGGATGACCCTTGGCTCTGTCCCAGTCCCAGAGAAGCACATCCTGGCTGGATACCTCAGCATCCATCAGAGGACAAACAAGCTCAGTAGGGTTGTCAGATTTAGCAAATAAATATCCCTTATTTTATCTGGCAACCCCACATCTCTAATTCAGATAAAACTGTAAACCAGTATTTACAAAGGAGGTTGTTTTTGCTCTGTGGGCCTCCATTCCTGCCATACCTACCATAAGGTGCGAGAGTGGGGAGTGTGAGGACAAAAGTAGCATTTTCAGATTTTTAGATGGGTCTAGAATCCATGCCTAGATTCTCTTGAGCTTTGAAGAGGCCATCTTTTGTAAAATGAAAGAAAGGGCTTTAAGAGCCATCTTACTCAACCTGCTCATTTTGCAGGTAAGGAAACTAAGGTCTGCCTGGAAGGTAAGTGAGTTGTCCAAGGTCAGTGGCAGGGCTGGACTAGAACCTAGGTCTCCAGTTTCTGGCCCAGCATACGTTCCTCTTTGTCATCCCAGCACTTACTTCTGTCCTCTGCCCCTTCAGTCATGGGGTGGGGAGAGATAACACCCAGGGTAACCCGAGGCCCCCCTGGTGACTCCCCAAGAGCGGTTCCTACCCTTGTGATCCAAAGGGAAGAACACAGCGAATAGAAGCAAAGTCAGTTCTAGGTGCTGGCTGGACAGAGCCCCAGAGATGGGTGAGGGGATCCCACTGTCTGTCCAGATGATGGGGGTCAGGTTCAGGAGCTGCACCCATGGCCTGGCCTCTTAACACACAGGGCTGACCGGGCCTGCCCCCCTCCCCTCACCGGTGTCTTGCAGAGTGTCGGGAGGAGAGCTCTTCGACTTCCTGGCCCAGAAGGAGTCGCTGAGTGAGGAGGAGGCCACCAGCTTCATCAAGCAGATCCTGGAGGGTGTGAACTACCTTCATGCCAGGAAAATCGCTCACTTTGATCTCAAGGTCAGTGAGGGGATGAGGGAGAAGAATCATTTTAGGAAGAACGGGCCCAGTCACTTCTGACATCACTGCTAAGGAAGGGCTCAGTGTCCCTCTGGCCCTCCTCCCTTGTCTTGCCATGGAAAGCTCTGAGCTCCTAGGAAAGAAATGATGCCACAGAAGGCGTCCCTCTCCTCAGTTTCATTTTGCAGATTGGGCTTTCTTCACATAGGGGCTGACTGCAAGAAGCTGCTTCTTCAGACCACAGGTACCTTATCTCTTTCAGGCAGTAGGTGGGGTGTCATTTTTAAATAGTAGACCACTTACAGGAAACGTGAAACCAAACACATTTCACAAGGCTGGACTCTTCAGTAGCCAAGAGCTAACTCATGAGGAGGCAGAAGTGTTAGCGTTCGGGCGAGGACTGCTGAGGTTGGCTGGCTCTCTGCCCGCCCCCCCCCCCGCCCCATAGCCTCCAGCACCCCTGGCCCAGAGGCCATCAGTCTTGGAGCCTAGGGACCGCTGGCTGCCCTCCCTGTTCCCATCCCCTACTGCGGCCCAAAACTGCTTCCAAGGGGCACTGATCATTTGTGGTAACTGGTATTCAGGGTCGAGAAAGTTCACTGTGACCACATAGGACCTCAGAAAGCAAGAGTGTGGTCAAAGTAGAAGGATCAGTTCCTGTAGTAACTGAGCTCAGTTTAGTGGACTGATAAGCCTTTACAGACACCCGAAGCATAAAGATCCTCTAGCCCGTGATCAGAGGGACCTATTTACTGGGGTGAAGACCTACTCAGTTTTCTATCCAGAAATTCCTGTTGTGTTTCAAGCATTGTGCCATGTGCCTGGGTACTGCTGCAGATACAAAAACCAGCTGAGGCCCTGTCTGGGCTCAGTTCCTCTTTTCTAGGAAACCTAGTACAGGAGACCGAAAAGATCAACAACTCTAATTGCTATGATAGGACATATAGGGGAGCTGGGGAGCTCAAAGGAGAGGGCATCTAAGTCAGACTGCAGCATCCGAGAGGGCTTCCTGGAAGAGGTGATATTTGAGTTGAATTTAGAAGGACTGGCAGGGGTTACCAGAGGGGAAGGGTCTTCTAAGGAAGAGAGGCCAGCAGTGTACATGGTCTGGAAATGGCACAATGCATTCAGGGGCGTACAGGCAAAGGGTGGATGTTCCGAATGGCTGGAGAAACAAGCCAGGAGGAGAGCAGAAGGCAGACACAAGGGCGTGAGAGCCAAACCAAAGAGGTTGAACTTTACCCTGAGGGATACAGAGTCGGCGGGGGAGCAGGTGATCAGGGAGGCGAGGCGAGCGGAGGTGTGTTTCAGAAGGATCTCTCTGGCTGGAAGGCTGGGGAGAATGGGGACACCTGGAGGCTGGGGTCCCAGCTGGGAGGCTCGGGCAGTAATCTGGGTGAGGGTGTCCTCTGGTAATGCACCGAGCAGGAAACGGTCTACCTGGATTGCACTTGTGTCTCCCTCCTGACGGTACTATGGACAGTTAACTTGTCGTTTCCTATGTCTTTACTGGCTCCAGGAGCCTGGCCTCAAAGTGGGCTCCTTTGGCTTTTCTCCACCAGATCTGGTAGAGGTAGGAGGAGTTGTAATCCCATGGGTACCATGACAGCAGCAGCTTCATGCTGTTTAATCTGCTTGTGTGGCCGCTGGGGGGTGGGGAGGGCCGGCTTGGAGGCGGCCAGGTCGGGGTTTGGTCTTCATTCTGCTGTATACCAGGACGCAGCTGAACCTCAGTCCTTCAGCTTCAGCGCAGATCATCCCTCCCCGGCACAGTTGTTGCAAGGGTTAGAGAGAAGCAGCATTACGTGCCGGCTCCCAGAGAGCGCTCTGTAATAGTCCCTGCTATTGTTATTTCCCCTCCCAGAGCAGAGGAAAGGAAAACACAACTCTCGTTACAGGATTCTGGGCCCATTAGACTAGGAAAACAGGCCTGCTAGTGCAGTTCTCCGTTTCCCAGCAGAGAGCTGAGATTGGTTGCTACTGGGGCATGTCGGGCTCCTGGGCTCAGTCTGGCTGCTTTCCACGACCTGGAGACAGTCTGGGTTTGCCCCGGATGTGTGCAGGGCGAGGATGCTGCTAACCCCCATCTTGGCCTCCTGTCCTTAGAGCTGTGCAGACTCTGAGCCTTCTGTCCCCTCCGCCCCTGTCCGTGGTCCCTTGGCACAGGCCCAGCTGAGCAACTTCAGGAAGTGATGAGTAGCTGCATTACCTCATGATGGGGTAGACACTTCCTGGAGCCAGAATATGGGTATGCTTACCCCTGGCTGGAACTTTCCCCCAGCTGGAAGGGATGATGTAGAAAGTCCCGCTGGTAGCTTAGCGGAGGGTTCTCGGTTCCACGTTGTTTCCCATCATCTAGAAATCATTTTACACAAATATGTTTTTCTTCCTGATTTTCATTCTCCGTGAGGTGCCTCTGCTTTCCTCAACTCTTGTATTCTCTTGCTCCTCACCAAGTGAGTCAGGCTAGCCTCGTGGTCCCATGAACACAGCTGCCCTGTTGTCTCCAGGCCCCTACCCGTGACCTGCTCTCCATGCTCCTCTTCTGGCTTGAAGGAGCAGGTGATGGAGGAGGGGCAGCTCTCGCCTGCCTCTGGAATATACGAACGGCTTCTCCTGGGGCTGCTAGCTGATAAGCTCCTCCTGTGTTTAGTCACGGTGCTAGAGAGGTGAGGCCCTCTCCCGGCTTATGACACGCTCCCAGCCTTGTGGCAGAGAGCAATAAATGGACAAATTAACGTATGATAAGCAGTCTTGGGAAAACAGATCGAGGCAGTCTACTGCCCAGAGATCTGTGATGGGCCCTTGTCATCTGTAGGATAAATGAACCCATGGTCAGCATGGCATTCGTACACTGCCTCAGCCCTGATTCTGACCTCATCCACTTTCCCCCACTCCAAAACACTAGCCCCAGGCAACAAGAGGACAGATCCACATTCTGGCCTTTCTCCTCCTCTGTTCATGCTGTTCCCACCCAGGAAGCCCCTGCTCTTCCTTTCCTCTGCCCATGGACTTCCTTCCTGCTCATCCTTCTAGGCCCAGCAGAAAGCCTATTTCCTCTGGGAAGGCGTTACCATCTCTGCTCCCCACCGAAGCATAACTAAGAATGAACCTGCCTCTCTGCTTCTGTTGCCCTTTGTACAGCCCTCTGGTGAGAGTATCTGTCGCTGTCAGTCACTTTCTGCTGCTTATATCTAGCACCGTCCCTGGCACATGAAGAGTTACTCAGTGTTGAATGAGTGAGTAAATGAAGGCATGAACGCCTTAGTAAGACCAATGCATGCATGGAAGGCAAAGGCCCTTTCATGTCACCTGGAAAATGCAAAAGAGGTTACAGGCAGGTTTCAGTCCAATGATGTGAACATTTTTTTTTAAGATTTATTTATTTATTTATTTATTTGACAGAGAGAGAGAGAGCGAGAGAGGGAACACAAGCAGGGGGAGTGGGAGAGGGAGAAGCAGGCTTCCCGCCGAGCAGGGAGCGCGACGCGGGTCTCGATCCCCGGACCCCAGGATCGTGACCTGAGCCGAAGGCAGACGCCCAACGACTGAGCCACCCAGGCGCCCCGATGTGAACATTTATTGAGGGACTACTGTATGCCCAGGGGTAGAGTGTCAGACATCAGTGTGATATGGCACCTCCCTTCCAAGGGCCCACTGTCTACCAGGAGATGGCCATGGTGGGACTCGGTGGGGAGGCCACCTGAAATGAAAGCTAACCATGAGTCTTGCCAACAAGAGCTCACTTCCGGGGGTAAGCGTTCTGCCTCAGCAGAGAGAATAGCATGCCAGTGTGCGTTGTAAATACACCCCAGGAAGGCCCATTGATGTGGGTGGTTGTGGGTGGTGAAGGTAGATGATGTTGCCCTGTATTTACATGGATGGAAGGAACCCTGGGGCTGACTGCCCCCAGCACCAGGTAGCACCCAGTGTGCCTTCAGACGTGGCGTCTGCGGGGTGCATTACCAGGAAGGAGGTTTCAGTACCACTCAGGAACCTCACCCTGGTATGCCATCCCAACACAAATGAAGGCCTTGTAGAGGGCGGGTTTGTGTGGTTTTGTGTTGATTTTGCATTTGGGAGTTTCTCTTCTGAGTATGGGTGTGTCTTCCCTACACCCCAAACCCAACTGGAGAATTCAAAAATGGAAGGTTGTCCTCGGGTCTGACTGGTATTTTCAGCAAAAAGAACACGCCGTGAGGATTAAATGAAATTATATGCAAGCCAGGAACCCAGAACTCTCATGGGGCTTTTTGGTTTATATAAATAGTATAAGAAGTGAATTTCTGAACAAAGTACCCCCAAAATCCAAATTCCTCTATGCCCTGATCGTCCTTTGAGTTATTTTTATGTTTGTGACATGATGGGGTCTGCTCATCAAGCTTTCACAGAAATGATACTAATAATACTTTGAATGTTTATGGCACTTTCTGGAATATAGTATGCTTACACATTTGTTCTCTCATTTGATCCTCATGACCACTCATGGAGGTACAAGGTATTGTCCTTTTTTTTACACACAAGGCAATTGAGATTCAGAGAGGTTAAGTAACTTGTCCAAGATCACGCAGGGATTAAATAACAGAGCTGGGGCTTAAACTTAGCCAATGAGGAAACACTAAGCCAAGCTGGGTGCCACCAGGTTTTCTTTCCCCAGATTCTGACAGTGTAGATTTCTTACTTCCTTGGGCCATGCCTCTGACACAGCATTAATCCAAAGGTCTGTATCGTGCCATGCATTTCTCTTTCACACAGTTCATATCTCATCTGGTTACATTGTTTTTTTATTTCTAATAAGTTATTCCTCATATTTAAAAAATGTATATTTTATTAGTTGCTATAAAATGTGCATGCATTTGAAAGTAGAACTTATAAGAATGAGGCTGTTTCCATACTAAAACCTGGCAACATGAAGCAAAGGTAAAGCATGGTAGAGATTTAACTGTCGGGATAGAGTAGGGTGAAATTGTGAAGTTTCAGGGCAGACCACAGTCTGCCAA